TCTCCCCTATCGCTCTCACGTCTCTCCTCTCTCCTCTCTCTCTCTCTCTCCTCTCTCTCCTCTTCTTCTCTCTCGTCCATCCTCTCTCTCTCTCTCTCTCTTCTCTCTCTCTCTCTCCTCTCTCTCTCTCTCTCCTCTCGCCTCTCTCTCTTTCGCTCTCTCTCTCTCTCTCACTCTCTCGGCGCGCGCTCTCTCTTTCTCTCTCTCTCTCTCTCTCTCTCTCATACTTATCATAATACAGTTGTTTAATATCAGAACACATAACACTCGTATTAGTGGAGCATGAAAACAAACGAGCATTCATTCACACCCTACTATACTTAACAGCATGAACTTAAACCACAAGCTTATGCTAGCATAACATGAAATAATAACCAGCATATATATATATATATATATATATATATATATGGACTACCTGTGTATACAGCCTGCAAATCACATCGTTGTCATTCTAACTTCTTCACCTTATAGGAGGTATTAGGTATTTAATCATTGCCCGTGTGTTCTACACACATCACGTACATTATATTGCATTGATTGCTCACATACACAACTGAACCTCTGCCGTGGACAGAAGGAGTAGCATCTGATTCACGAACGCAGGAAAATGCTTGAAGCACCTGTGTATGCCGTCCAGTCATCTCTCGGTCGCTCTATTTTTCTATTATCTCTCTCATTTACTCTCTCGCGCGCTCTCTCTTTCTCTATCTCTCTCTCTCTCTTTGTCTTTCTCTCTCACTCTCTCCTGCCTCTGTATATCCGTCCGTCCGTCCGTCCGTCCGTCCGCCCGTCCGTCTACTCTCTTCTCTCTTATTCACGCGCACTCTCTCTATCCCCAATACTAGTGATACAAGTCTTACTCGCCTCCGAATAGAAGCAAGTGTGTGGAAACCTTTTTCACTTTGATCATACTTTCAGTCATCATTTTACCAACTTTATCATATGAATTCTGCGACACAGATCATTGTCATGAATTACAAATTGCTGCCATTCACGACCTCGTATTATTTCCACGCTCTACAACCGAATGCACACCATGACGCTACTAGTACAGCCTTTGGCACAAACCACGCTCCATCTCTATGACAGGAAAGATGACATTGATAGGCTATCGTACTAGTTTACTAATAGAAACAATCACGTCCATGGTTACGCGTGCAACTGTAGTCATTGAGATGCTGTGAGGCAGTCTTAAACAAGATGTCCCTCACGGTTAATTTGATTGCAGCACCTTTTACGGTACATATATTCAGTCTGCCTGTGATTCGTGAATTGAGCAGGTTAGATTTAGTAATGCCTGGGTCGGCGTGGTGGTATAGATGGTGTGCCCTGAGCGTGTCTGCCAGCCGGTGTCATGTGACCTGCAGGATGAAGGTCAATTTTAGGCTCATATGTTTTTGTTTATTTTCTATAAAACAGATTTTTGATGAAATTATTCCACCTAGAATCAATATTCGGTAAAGAGAGTGGGCTGATTAAATCATCACTAAGGCCAAATCATCGCACACTAGACATCCACCATCCTCGTAAAGTACTCATTTAAACATGGATTCTTCTCGCTTTTATCAAAAGACCTCTCTCTATACACCTTCATGTAATAATATTATTTTCTTTACAGGACAGACTGCCCTTTCTTTACTGCTCTAGTCTTTGTTCAAAAAAAAGCCTTTACAGCTCTGACATACCGTTGCGGACATAGTAATGGTCCGTGGCTGACATGTGTGATATGGAATAGTCACGTTCACCGTCAATCGACCTTGACGTTCGACCGGGCGAGTCTGGTCTCCCATATGACATCGCCAACGCCCTCTGGTGGCCTGAATGACCAGCTGTTTAAAAGATGGGACAGTTATTAGTTATTAAATTACGTTATCGAGTAGATTAAGCTTATTAGTTTATAGTAGTAAAGAGAGATGTGCGAGGATAGAGAGGGAGAGGTGGGGAGAAAGAAAGAAGAAGAGAAGAACAGAGAGATGAAGTGGATGGGAGAAAGAGTGAAGTGGGAGAGAGCAATAAGCATGGAATAGCAGGAGAGAGAATGGCATAGAATAAGGAAGAGGAAGAGGAAAGAGGAGTAGAAGAAGAGGGGGAGAGAGAGAGAGAGGGAGAGAGAGAGAGAGAGAAAGAGAGAGAGAGAGAGAGAGAGAGAAAGAGAGAGAGGAAGGGAATCGAGAGAGGGAGATAAAGAGGGCAAAGGATATGGAAAAGGAGGAGGAGAACAGAAGAGCGATAGGGAGCAGGGATGAGCGAGACCTCTTATATGACATATAAGACTAAACAATGAAACACTCACGCATTGAACTCTGTGACTTGGACATGGGCACAGCAGTCCTGTATATCGGTGCAGCGATGAGTGGGGGCGGTCCAGAGTTTCTATACAAGTCATCTCGGAGTTCTGGTCCATGTATGGTGCTACCCATGCTCGTACCGTAGTGGTACAGAGACTGTGAGGGAGTCTTCGGCTTATCTCTGTCGACAGAACGTGGGGAGACGCATGAGAACTGTTGCTTAAATCAAGGTGAACATTTCCATACGTTTCAGGTGCGTGTTATCAGGGGTGAATAATTACGAATGTTTTAATTTGACATGTGTTCAATGTGTTAAATGGTTCAAATGTGACAAATTTGTCATTATTTTCCCCCTGGTGATATGAGATATGTGGACACACCCCGAATACATATGCATACATGTTGGTCTAGGCCACTATTGGCTAAGGTTGTGAATTGTTAACCACTACATTGACTAACACATCACTTGAGATTCGATAATAATTAGGTTATATAACGATTAATTTCCTGTTCCGTAGCAACCTTTAACAACCTTTAACAACCTTTAACAAAGTGAAAATATTTTGGAGACAAAAACTACATGGAATCAAACCAATTATAACAAGTGTTTGCGCATGCGCAGTTGTGATAATTTCCACGTGTTCACACAACGAAACCAGTGTTTCTAACAGTAAGATGAACGTGTGAAGTAAGACGATACCTGCTCTCTCTCTCTCTCTCTCTCTCTCTCTCTCTCTCTCTCTCTCTCTCTCTCTCTCTCTCTCTCTC